AGAAAGAAGTTGGACATTTATGTCCAACTTTGCACAGTGGAAACCATGAATTTTCCTTTTGTTGGTGAGAATTAGAAGTGAAATTTAATGCAGGCACTAGTGATTCCTGCCCTATAATCCTAGCTATTCAGGAGGCTGAGGTCTGAGGATTATAGCTCAAAGCTAGCCAGGGCAGGAAAGTTCAAATAACCAGCCAGAAGTAACAGTGTGCTCAGGTGGTAGAGCACTAATCTTGAGCAGAAAAAGCCATGCAAGAGTGTGAGGTCCTGAGTTAAAGCCCCAGTACTGGCATAAAAAATATAAACAAAAAAGTGAAGTTCTGTTCTGAAAAGGAGTTATGAGTTTTACCAGCCAAGCTTGGCACAAACAAACAACACCCAAGTGCTCAAGTATGATGTTCACATTCCTGGGAAAAAACTGGGTGCCTTGTGTATGAAAATGGCTCTAAGAGTCCTCTTTACTCTGTTGATCTTAGCACCGTGACATTCTGAAAACTCTTTTGGAGAAAGGAATCAATTATTTCCATATTGCCTTAGCTATTTCTACATTATCCTGAAGAGCTATGACTAAGGAGCTTCTTAGTTAATCTGGGCCCCAGTGACCTCATTGGAATGAGGTGAGGGTTGGAAACATACAGAATTCCTGTTGGTTACCAACCTCATCTCCTCACCTGGGAAATTTTCCTAATGCTAATCTTGAAGATTGATGGCAGTTCTTATTAAAATAGGTGATCATACCCCCTGAGATGGTGTATTCAGTTAACATCTTTGGAAAGTTCTTAGTATTGTGTGATGGGGAGAAATTCAAGGAATCATTTAGAGGGAAGGACTTAAGTGAAGTTCACCTCCCATGATACCTAGAAAAGATGGCTGTGTTCTATCAGGGCACATTTGGTAGGACAAGACTTGGAGGAATATAGCATCTCTGCCTCAACACAAGGTTGAGTACATGATTTGGCTGACTTTGAACCTTGGTAGGAGTGATGAGAATGGATGGAAAAGGAGGCCATGTACTCAGTATCTCTGTGAAGCTTCGCATGCTTTCACAGCTGGGTGACAACTTTTCCTACTGCTCCAGAGTGCCTGTGAATATATATCAGGTTGATAACAACTCAGCCTTAGGCTTGTGTATTTTTCAAAAGAAGGTTCAATGTAGGGAACAACAGTGTAGTCCCCCTTAAAGCTCAAGTAGCTGTGAAATACTTCAAGAGATTGCTATGAAGCCAGAATGTAGCACAGGTCAAGTTTACTGAGAGTATCTGCTTTCTTGAAATCTTTTGCTTTAGGTTCTCTCACTTTTCCATTCCTCTACCCCTGGCCATAGTTGTTGGTTTGGTTTTTGTGTGCCAGTACTGGGGCTTGAACTCAGGGCCTAGGCACTGTCCCTGAGCATTCGTGTTCAAAGCTAGGGTTCTCCTACTTTGAGTCACAGCTCCATTTCTGGCTTTTTGGAGATAAGAGTCTTATGGTCCTGCATGCCTGGGCTAGCTTTGAGCCTGGATCCTCAGATCTCAGCCTCCTGAGTAGCTAGGATTACAACCGTGAACCACCAGCACCTGGCTCTGGCCTGAATTTTAGTGCCTTAGAGTCATTTCTCTTCCTTCTTGGTGCCTTCCTTATGGTATACATTGCGCTTTCCCTAACTATTCTTTAAGCTTTAAGAGTGGAGACATATCTGTCTAGAAATTCTCTTCTCAGAAAGAGAGTTTCCAACTCTGAAGATGGTACAGTATGCAACTGTGGTGAATTACATACCTGAGGATATTTAGGATTCCTTGTAGAAATTTTGAGTCACACAGAATAGCAATATGTTCTTAAAATACTAAATTGTGGGTGGGTTTCTCTGAATCCTTGATTCCTATCGTATTCCTAATCTCCTTTTCCTTAAAAGGTAAACATATTAACACCATCTTAGAAAACCAGATCTCCCAGCCCTATTTGTGTAGCTATGACCAAAATTTCAACGTAAGGAGAGAGATTTATTTTGGTTTATGTTTTCATAGAGTTCGCTCTATGATTGCCTAACCCGTGTTCTTGGGTCAGACATTTTGGCATTAGGAATGGGGAATAGATTCTTTACCTCAGAATGAATAGGAAATGGAGCAAGGAAGGAACCAAGGACCCTCCTGCCTTCCTCAGCTAGATCCCTAATGTTGGAAGTCTCCTGAAGTTTCCAGAACAGCCCAAAATAGTACCACCAGCTAGGGCCAAGTGTTTAGCACATGAGCCTGTGGGGGACATTACATATTTAAACCGTAACACTGACTTTGGTGACTCTTGCCAGCTCTCCCTCTAGTTTTTCCCCCAATCTAAGCATCTTGTAATGATGCCAAATTTCAATTGTTTAATACAATAAAAACTCCAGGAGGAATCTTGTGAGTCATACTTTTCACTTTGTGTCCAGCCTCTAGAACTGGTTGCACCAGGCAGACACTCAAATGTTTGTGAACAAATGCATGGATTTGGACACAAAAGCTGTGGTGGCTTTGGCATCTGTGGGGGAGGGGAGTAAGGTAAGCAGATAAGCAGTAGGGAACATTAATGGTGGCCAGGGCCATTTCTTATTGAAAGAGGGAGATTTGGGAACTTGCCTGTAGGGGGAGGAGGGAGATTTAAAAAAATATTAGAGAAACTTTAGGCAAAACCATGGAAAATTGAGCTGTTTCACTTGAATGACCCATTCCTTGGGTATGGTTGTGACAGTGCTGGTTTGGTGACTGTTACAACCATAGGCTGTGGTGCTGAAAGATCTTTCTTCCAGCCCAGTCTTTGCCACTGATTCAGAAAATAACCACGGGTACCGCCTATTTCCCTTAGCTGACCTTGGTTCCTTCATTTGTGAGAAAGAGTTAATGCCTGTCACTCTGTGATTATGAGTAAACATATGGAAAAGTGCTTTGTAGGCAGTAAAGGCATGTCTCCAACGATTTATTAGCTCCACGATGTCTCTTTAAATGATAGGGCTATTACCTATGTCAATTACTGTTATCAGAAGTCACTATTAAGTAATGTTGAGTTATGCAGAAAATTTTTGCAATCAGCCTCTGAGGAATAGCAGGGTCTACTTTGCTGTGAAGGCTTTCTCTAACTCAGAACCTTGGCTTCCACTTTGAAATGTAAAGTGGAGAATCCTGGAAGAAGGGTGAGGCAGAAGGCTGTTGTGGGAAGGGCAATTGGCCAGATATGGTGATGACGGGAAGAAAGATATTAATCCTGTTAATATAAAAAGTGTTTGTTGTGTTTGCTAACTTGTTCCTGGTGCTTTGACTCACAGCTGGCACATTGAACTTAGTTGAGTGATATTTGTGGATATAATCATACTTGCTCCACTAATGATCATACCTTCGTTTAATTCAGTGGAAACAGACAAATGAGTGAGGACACTTTTATTTCTTTCCTGACATTATTTGCTTACAAAATATTTCAGTAGAACATACAGCCTTTGTATGGGCATATGCTGGATGCCCTGACAAAAGGGTCTTCTAGGAGTCTACTGTTAACATGTACAAAAAGGCAGGGGAGAGGTCATTTTGAGCTGGATTTAGGACGGAAGAGCCTTGGGTTGAGCCCGAAAGATGGAATTTTATAGACTATGGCCAATATGTTGTGACTATATTTTTTTAAACAGTGTGTGTCATCAGACTAAAGGAAGCTAATCTTAGGGAAGGAACACAAAGGTATAATATCTATGTGCCTCTAATTATATAAAATAATATTTATTGGACAAATTTAGCTAGATAGGCTGATATTAGAGCCTGGACCCAGGCAGTGGAGGAACATTGCTGGAGTGCTTTTATGAAATATGAGAGCTCTTTGCATGTTTTTCCCCCTTGCTTGCTCCTGGCACTCTACCACTTGAACCACACCTTCAGTTGGATGTATTTTTTTAAAGATGACTTTGACAAATACAAATCTTTGTGGTCCCCAGTGGGTATCATTGATCTGGAATGAGATGCCTGTTTGAAGGAATGGAGCCACATAGGAAAATCTAATGTAGCAGGAAGGGAAAACGGATAGGCCAAGGTGTAGAGACTCCTGCTTCTTGGGCTCTGCTGTTACCGTAAACCAGCTTTTGCTGACCTCCCCCACCACATCTCTCCATCCCTTCCTCCTGACCTCCCCCACTTCTCTTCTTTTTCCCTTTCTTCTTCATCCACATATAAAAAAGACTGTGGGCTTAAAAGCTTGACTCACTCTCTGTTTCCATTGCTTTTGTCTTTTGAATATCTGATGTCCAGCAAAGCTAATAAATACGAAAGGAGAAGTTTTAGAGATCTCAAATGGCATAAAAGGGTATTGTTTCCCTCCAAGGATCAGAAAAAAGACACATACTTGTAGATTCTTTGTTCAATCTCAGAGATTCTGGGATGCCATACAGTAAGGCTACTGGACACATTGTACAGTACTGAGGCTGCTGTTAGATGTGTCTATAATTGGTTTGAGACTGTCCAACTCCTATGGCCTTTCCTCCATGAAGCCTGATCAGTTTTCTTAGTGTGTTATTTAGTAAATTTTAATCCTTCAGTCTTGCTTCTCTTGTTAGAAATGTCATATATATATATATATAGTTTTATTTTAATAAAAATTAAAAGGCAAAGTTGTGCCTGTATGGTGTTTTATTACTCTTGTTTCTGAATGTTGTATGTTGAACTATATGAGCTTTTTAAAAATATCTTTAAGTAGTTGTACAAAGGAGTTGCCATTTAACAAAGCAGGGTATGAGTATAACGCATCTTGCTGAATGTCACCCCTTTCAGCCTTCTCACCCATCCTTCCTCTGCCCCCTCTCACACTCACTCTTCTTAATTTTGTAGGCTATACATTGAATTCTTCACCTCTTTCTTCTTTATTTATTCTCTGTTCTGACTCTTAACTCTCTTTCTCTTTGAGTCTTACCCATGCTTGAGCTGCACGTCCACTTGAGGTTTCTCTACTTGATTGTCTCAAGTGTTTATTTGGTGGAGACTACCCTTGTAATGCATTGTTACCTTCTCTTTCTAGCGATTGTGGACGATGAAAGACTCTCTGCAGAGGAGATGGATGAGAGGCGGCGGCAGAACATTGCTTATGAATATTTGTGCCATCTGGAGGAAGCCAAGAGGTAAGATCCTATTTACTTTGTTTGCTCATCTTCTCTTGATAATAGGCTTTGTGGGAGGGGTGTGGGATTTGATGAGCAGAAAACATCTGAATGGGCTAGATGTTCTAAAAAATTGTTAAGAGTGAATGGCCAGGGAGAAACATTTGCCTGTCTTCAGTGAATTAGACTTATTCTCACCTTCCATGGAAGGTTCAGTGATACTTCACTGGGAAAATTACTGGTTATTTCCAATTTTATATCTTGGCTTGATGTAAATCAAGTTCCTTTCCCCAGGAGTCCCCCAGGTCTTTTACTCACCCTCATCCCAATGATGATAAATGCCTGGTAGGACAATAGCATATAGGACTGAAGTCCATCAGTCACTTATGGGTACTAAGGGTATGTTTATGACAGCAATCTCTCTTTTAAACATGTGTGTGTGTGGCCATTTAGGATAGCTTGTCTTTAAAATCACATTGACTCTTTCTAGACTCTTCAGGTTAGGTAGGTATTGAGTTCTTCAAGGAGAAAGTGAAGATAAAGAGTCCTAAGTACAAATACTTTATTAGTGGGATCAAGAGAACTTTGTTCTTTGCTGGGTGACTACTACATTGTCCATATATCAAGATTTATAGTGTTATTTAGTGGTTTGTGTGAGAAAACACTACATACGATTATCATCTATATCATTCCATGGCACATGAGACTTCCCAGCCATTTGATTTGTATGGAAAATAAACACTTACTGAAATGGCCAATGGTGTTAATTTTCTCTGGCCACTGAAAAATGGCTCTCTACAGATGTAAAATAATGAGAATATTAAGCAGTGTTTTGTAGACCACTAATCAGTGACACATGCCTGAGTTTGGCATCAGAATTGCTTTACGGGGAATTTCTTGGGTGTTGCTTAACATTTTAACAATCACTCAACTTTCCTTAAACTTTAATGCCCAAGTTTTAAAGGTTGTTTAACATGTCTGTGTGGTCTACACTTAAGTTGAAGGAAACTAAAAATTCCCTTTAGGGTAAGAGTATGGAAAACATGCTGGTGGCTGATGTAATCCTAGCTCCTTAGGAGACTGAGATCTGAGAATCGTGGTTCAGAGCCAGCTTGGGCAGGAAAGCCTGTGAGACTCTTACCTCCACTAAACTATCAAAAAAAGCCAGAAGTGGAGCTGTGGCTCAAGTGGCAGAGCGGTCATCTAGGCTCAGGGATAACGCCCCTTCCCTGAGTTTAAGCCCAGAACCAGCGACTTCCCCTCCCCTCTTTACCCACCCCCCCAAAAAAAGACCATGCATTCAATGAAAAAAGTCTTGAGAGTTAGTGGAAGCAGCTTACCTTTTCTTGCTGACATTCTTTGCATCCTTGGCTTTTGCCTTCTGTCACTTAGGGAGACCAGATGAGTGAGTGGGCATTGGTAGATCTGATTTCCTACCATTTATGCTTTACCATTTATGCCTTATGACCTTGAATAGGTCATTTAACCTGCATGGAAATTATTTTGTCCCTTAGAATATGGCATGATAAGATGAGACCACTGCCTGCTCTATTTCGTTCATGTTTTTATTCTTATTCCTAAAAAATCAATGGAAGAAGGCAGACATAAGCAACGGTTTCCCTCACCTATCAAAAGTGGAACAAAATGTAGTCTGGAAGCTGGTCATCCTTTCTAGTATTGAATTTTGTTTTAGGAAGTCACCACTATGATGATCATAAGTTCTTTGAAGAGAATTTCCTTAGGAGTAGTTACTTTGAAAAAAAAAAGATTATAGAAATATAGAGTTCTTCCTATCAGATGGCTTTTTATGGATTTGTAAAAGAAGAATAGATGTTAAATTAATACTGAAGAAAGCTGCTTTTTAATATGTAAAACTTACATTACTACTACTAGATATATGGTATTGTTTGAGTTAAGGAAGATATTTCACATCCAAACCATAGCACAATGAAAATGAAAAATGTCTGTTTTAGGACCAAAAAAGAAAAACCATTGCTTTATCAAGGCTCTTTACTGTACAATTGGAAGGCTTCAGATCATGCCAAGGAGAACTAATCGTGATTGTGTTGAACTAATATCCCATGACTGTTTGACAAATTACTCTAAAATTGGCAATTTAAATCAACAAGACATTTATTTCAGAATTTTTAAGGGTGAGGAGTCTGGGCCGGGCATGACCTTACTAGGTCGTTGGATTCCTGGTTTCTTGAAAGGTTGCATTGATCTCAAGATTAGTGTGGGCACAGCCACTTCAAGCTCATTCAGTGCTGTTGGCAAGATTTAGTGGCTGATGAGCATTTAGACTGAGCACCATAAATCCAGCTGCTACCGGATAGTCTTCCCCCAGTTGCTTGCCACTTGTTTCTCCCCATAGGACAGTGACCATGTGGCAGCCAGCTTCCATCAGTGAGCAGCTGAGAGGGCAAGATGGAAACCTTTTGTGACCTGTTCTCAGAAGTGATGACCTTGCTTTTTGTTGCATCATGTTGATTAGAAGCAAGTGCCTAAATCTAGGCCATGCTCAAGGGAGGGGATTACACAAGGGTTGAGTTCTACAACTGAGGGTTCATTCCATTTTGAAACAGGACCAGAATGGGCATATTGGTGGGAGTGTAGGGGAAGATCTTTGTTCTTACTGTTAGGAGACCCAACCAGGAATTAGATGATCAGACAGATGTCTTGGACTGAATGGTAACTGTGTTAAGGCGATCTATGTGTTGATTCCTTTTTTAGTTGAGAGTTTTTGTTTTTGTTTCTTTTTGTGAGGTGGTATATGTGTGTATGTCTTTGTGAGTGGGGGAGGGGGATTTCAGGGATACTCTTAACTCCAGTTAACTACCAGAAAGCCAGATGTGGATCTGTGGCTCAAGTAGAGCACCAGCCTTGTATGACAAAGCTAAAGGATAAACCCAGGCCCTGAGTTCATGCCCCAGTACTGGTAGACACACACACACACACACACACACACACACACACACATACTTGTAGCTGATGCCAAAAATCCTACTGATTTGAAAAATTAGTACTACTGAGTAGATTTCTTATTAATGTATGCAAAATATACTTGAGCAATAAAAAGGAGTGCATTTTAAGATATTCTGATTTTGAGCTTTGGGGGTAACAACTGTACAAAAACATCTAAGAGAGTTCTTTTTGGGAAAACTCTGGGTTGAGGAACTAAATCCGTGGGGAACTATTGTGAAGGTCAAAGAATGGGAGAGGAGCTCTTGGCAAGCAGTAGAGAGTTTGCAAACTGCAGTTAAGCAAGGAATTATGAATGGGACCACTATTGTCCAACTCAAGGAAAGTTCCTGTAACATTATATTCCTTTTTTTTTTTTAAGCAAAGAGAAAATGCATACAAATCTTTTGCTGTGCTTTTTCTGTCTGAAGTTTGAAAATAAACAGAGCAAAAACCCTTCCCTAGGTGCTAGGCTTGTTTAGAAATATTATCTTTAAAGAGCTCTTTATGTGAGCCACACTGTTCTCTGTATGGGTAAGTCTGAGACAGTTTTGTATGTGCCCTGGAAAGAAAACAAAACATGGGTGTGATTGCTTTTGTGTCTGTGTTTATAACTCAGATACCAAAAGGACACCTCCTTGATTAAATCACGTCTGTAGCTCAGGCCTAATCTAATAGTAAGCAAGTGAATTGGGTTTGAAAGAAGAAATGCTTTTAGTGTTTAAGTAAGTGAAAAACCCTAAGAATCATGGTTTTGCTTAACATTGAATAGTTGTGATTGCTTTAAAAATACCATATATATATTTGTATGTATGTATGTATGTGTGTGTGTATGTATGTATCTTATGCCTGGGAAATACATAACAGAATCAGCTGGGCTTCCTTTTCATGCTTGGACTTTATTGTCCATATTCCTAAGGATATTCTCTGCAGATGTACTCCTAAGTGATGTTTACAAACACTTGGAATTTAGAGGAAAATACCTATCTTGGTACTCAACCCATTAAGAGAGCTGTTATTGCTCTATATAAACTATTAATCGAAAATGTAAGGAATTTTTGTAATCCTGGTTACATAGGAGGCTGAGATCTGAAGGTTGTGGTTTGAAGTCAGCCTGGGTAGACAAGTCTGAGAAACTCTTAGCCTCCAGTTAACCAATAGACCCTGGAAGAAGAGGTGTGGCTCAAGTGATAGAATGTCAGCCTTGAGCAGAAAAAGCCAGTGGACAGTGCCCAGGCCCTGAATTCATAAACATGTAAATACTAATGAATTGTTTTACAGTTCTAGGGCTTGAACTCAGGGCCTGGATACTGTCCTGATTTTTTTTTCCCAAGGCTAGTGTTCTACCACTTGAGCCACAGTTCCCTTAGGGCTTTTTTTTTTTCTTGGTGCTTCATTGGAGTTAAGAATCTCACAGACTTTCCTACTCAAGCTTAGCTTTGAAATGCAGTCCTGGGATCTTAGCCCCTGAGTAAACTAGGATCACAGGTGTGAGCCACAGCACCCAGCTAGTAATCAAATTTTAAGGAACTTCTTCATTGTATTTTCAAATCATAAACCACTTTTATGTTTCCATGGTAACTGCATCTCTCCCCCATCCTCCCTAGTTTTCTCTCTGGCTGTGGCCTCACCTCTGCTGTCCAAGAGGAGGGAGTGTGGGGTTGCTCCATGCAGCTCTGGTAGAGCAAGAGGTGTATACGAACTAGGCATAGGAACTCCTCTCTGGCCTATCTCTTAGGTGAGGAAAGGACTGTTTATGACTGTATTCCAGCCACAGACTAGTATGGCCCCACTCTGCCAGAAGAAAGGGTTTATCTAGGGTAGCAAACCAGTGGATGACACCAGTGGGGTGTCTGTGCCTTATGAAGAGATAGCAGCCAGCACTGCCTACCAGTGTGTGGGACTTGTAGCTAGGGCATCAAAGGAGACATAGAAGAAACGAACTGGTTGTTGATGGTGCTCTGGTAGAAGAGACAGTTATTAAGGCTCTGAAGGAAGAAGCTGTAGAATTTGACCTGAGACCAGATCTGGGTAACAGAGGACACTAGGGGATTAGCAAC